GTTTATATATCTCAATCCGTAATTCGTAAATAACTCGTATAATCAACCTGTACGGATCACAGGTTGGGTTAAGGTCAATTCACAAGTTGACCGTTTGTTTTATTTTTTATTATTATTTTTAAATATTATACTTATTATCCATAATTAATTTTTTTATTGGTAATTTCTTCTATTAATTTATACTCCTTAATTTATAGAGAAAGAAAAAGAAATTATGATAAGTTTAATTTAATTACCCAAGTATCATTTTTTTTTTTTGATATTAACAATTACCAAGTATCATGAATGAAATGATAATGCAACTAAAAATATTAAAAAATGTGATATTAGGACATAAACATAATAACTTAGTGAAAGATATTTTTGGAAGAGCAAATTCATTATTAAAAAAATGGATTAAATTACTTGATAATATTTCAAAATGATTATAAAATTAAAATTTTATTTTTTTAAAAAATTAATATTTTACGTTTAATATTTTTATTGTTAATTAATTTATTATTATTTATAACTTTTTTATTTTTTTCTTAATTTAAATATTTGTAATTGAAACTATAAAATATTTAGTATTAATGAATCACAATATTTTAATTAGATTTAGATATATATAATTTTATTTGCATATAATAAATTTATAAAAAATAATTATAAAAAATAAAAATAAAATCAATCCACAAGTTAACCTGTAACCTGTTAGGGTCAGGTTATGGTTGGACTTTTTCAATCTGCAACTCGTTTATAACTCAATCCGTATAACTCGTTACTCGAGTTAACCCGACTCAACCCACCCATTTGTTAAGTCTAGTTATACTTATACCATTAAAGATATTTTCTCCCATTTCTAAAGTTATATTACTTATGTATTATGTGACTTAAATTAAGATTTATTATTTTTTTTTTTTAAAAGAATCACTTGACTACTTGATTTTATTTCATGTAATTTTTTAAATAAAGGTTATTAAAAAGTGAAAATTATTTTTTGATGTATCAAATATTAATTCTTTAGTATTGTAAGAATTCAAGCATATAACGAAAACATCTTCATGGTTTAATAATTACCTCTCATTTATAAGAGATTTCTCATGCATGTAACTTGACGGTGGATTTTGAATCTTAATCTTAATATTTAATTCAATCATACTTATATAAATTATTTAAGTAAAGATCTTGTATCCTCTATCTCTGAGGTTGGACACTGACATTAATTATGTATCACTGCTACTTTTATGGGTTAATAAGAACTTTCGTAAAAAACTTGGAAGGCATCTATAACAAAGTGAATGAGCACGGGGAGACAAGAATCCCTCATTTTCATGGGAAAAGGTAGAAAATGAAACACAAGAGATAATGCTTAAGCATGGAGCAATGATAAGATGTTTTGTATTTCAGCTGATATATAGGAGGGTGTGCCAGGACTACCAGCCTTCTGTTTTCTTAATGTGAAAATGGTTCAACGCCAAAGAATTTGAATATTATTATTAGAAGTTAAAATAAGTTTAAATGTTAAGATAAAAAAATTTAAAAGTAGATAGATGAATTTTAATATATAATTCATTATTAGATATACAAAAAAATCTACCTTTTATTTTCTATCGACCCCATCAAAACTTCTTGCTTGATCCTCATTCATCACCTTTCAATCTTCATTAATTAATAAATCATCAATTCATAAAGTCTTTCAAGTACCATCGACTGCAATTGAATCATTGTTGAAGTTGCTTTCAAATGTCCTGTGTTACACATGGATTAATATAGCCTAGCTACTAGCTACCAGATACCCTTATCACTACTTGATTAGAAGTGAAATGATGCCCATATTGTGTGTTGTAAAGAATTTGAAGTGACTTTGTTTTGACAAAAGCTTGTTGAGAGTACTTGGAATGGATGATGAGTAAGATACAAAAGATAAAAGACCAAAAGGGGAAGGATTTATCATTTGAGAATTTTGCACCAAACCTATTTATAGCCAATAATATTTACTTCAAAGGTTAACAATTGTTTTTTTTTTTTTAACGGTGGGTTAACCCATTTTTTAGTATCATAAAAGAAATTAAACTTCATTACAAATTTTAGAATGTGGTTTTGAAGTCAAATGTTCAATTGTTTTGAAAGTCTTCTAAGAGACTTTTAGTTTTCAAATCGATGGATTTATCATGAAAAGTTTGGAATTTTTTTGAGAGAATCAAATGCAAAAAGAGAAAAACCCACTTAAACAAAGCGCAACTCAAATCACATTTGTGGACAAAGTTGTTAAGAAAATTCAGTAAAGAAATCATGAGATATTCCATGAACATGGCAACAGTACCTTGCACCACAGTACAAACACACAAAAGCAGGAGGAAACCTTATCTTCTTCTCTCACCATCACTTCTTTTTTGCATTTTGTTTTTTAATTAAAGATGACTTTATCTGAAAACTCAGAAAATGGCTCTGGAAATTGTCTCTTCCTTTGTTTTCTGTTTTATTTTCTTTCTGAGGTTCACGTCTGGGGACTGCCATAATTGTCTGCCTGACCCCCTGAAAATTGTTTTTCTGCAAAAACAAAAACTGTTTTTGTTTGTTTTCTCAGACAATGGCACTACAAAGGGAACAGCCTCTGATTCTCCCTTGTGTGTGCTGTGGTGCCACTCCAAAACAAAAGTTAATCCCCTATCTTTAATTCTTTTCTCTTGACCATTTTGTAAGAACTTCGGCTGTTTTTATGGCCGGAACACACATTGAGTCCAAGTGACACACCCCACACATTGGTGGCTTCCATTCATATTTTTTCTCCACATTCATTGTATTACACCTCATTAATTTTGGCTCTTATGCTCAATATAACTCAAAATGAGGTATTTTTTTGTTCATGTAAAACAAGTATAGTTGACCAAAAGTTTTTCTCTCCTTCCCCCCTTTTCTCTCTTTGGAGATAAAAAAGAAGCAGTTGGGGTGAGAGGCCTTAATTATTTATTTTTTGCAAGATACTAGTAAGATTTTCCTTGGAAAGGGTTTGTAAGAGTAAGGCCCTAGTTTAATTGGTCAGTTGAGCATTTCAAAGACACTGCTTTAGTCTATAATTCACTAGTTATTTTAATCACAATGTGGGAAAAGTCGGTTTGCTTTTTTAATTTGTTGAAAATAATAGTAGTGGAAAAAGAGAGTCCATGGCAGTTGGCTTTCTTTGTTAGTACATGGCTCATGAAGCTTAAGTGGGCAGGATTCCTGGCTGGAATCGGGAATCGAATTCCCATAAAAATGTGATGATTATGGTAGAAAAAGAAAAGCTAAACAAAATGGTTTTTGTTTTTCCTTAAAAGAGCTCAAATACCTTGAAACATGAACTGTTTTTGTACATCTCTAATTCAAAAGGTCTCTATGCATATAAAACAACGGTTAAAAAAGAAATCAATAAAGGAAAAAAGACATGAGAACATGGGGGGTTAATCTAAAAAGGCGTCCTTAACTTTACCCTAAGATGATCACAAAAACAGTTCTTGTGAACTACCATGAAAAGCTACCAATTAGAGGAAACCACAATCCCTCTCAGTTCTTGTTGCCCCATTGCTTGTGACCAGGAACCCATTTGGGGCATTTGGGGCTGAAGTAATTGGACACAACTCTTGAGTTAAGAAGCTCAACAATGGGTGCAAATTTCACACACCTTGGTGTCTTGTACTGGTTGATTGATGCCCCTAAGCTTATGGCATAGTCCATGAGCTTGTCAAATGTACCGGTCTCAACAATCTTGATCTCCAGTGGTCCAATAGATTTGTCACTGACACGTCCCTGGCGGTAGACACTGTTGAGAGATTCTTCAATGGTCAAGCAACAGTCCTCAAAAACTGAGGGAGGAATTGGGGTGCTGCCATTGAGGCTGAGCTCCCAAAACAGCACATAGTGGCCAGGAATTGAGCTGGTATCTGCATAGCTTGTGTACTCGGCCACAGCTGCATCAAAAGGCACCAAATGGTTCACTGCATTCTTGACAGCATTTTGTAGCTCAACCTCATCAGTCTTATCAGAATCAATGCTCAGAACCACATTTTTTCTGCAAATGAAGGTGAATTGGGGTGCTTTGTTCTTGAACCCAGCTACCCTCAGCACATCACCAACTCTATATCGATACAGTCCTGCAAAAACCAAATTCAAAAAATTAAGTAAACACAGACAAACTAAACTTACAGAATGTTCATAACATTATGAAAATATGTTCAGAATTTTACCTGCATAAGTGGTGACAACAAGCTCATACTCCTGGCCAAGTTTGACATCAACAAGATCAACCAGTTCTTGCTGCTCTTTTTCATTGAGAGATTTGGGCACAGAGATAGAGTTGGTGACTCCATTGTTTCTGTGAACTGGCAGGAATTCAAAGTAGGCCATGGTGGGAATAAGGGTATAAGATACTTCACTAGGCTTGCAAAGAGGGTTCAGGTTCACACCAAAGTAGCACTCCGAGGAAGCATACATGGTGCAAACAAGGGGCAGCCCGTTGCTGTAGTAATCAAGGATTGGGATGTACTGAGACATGGTCCCAGTCACTATAACATCCACATACTTAGTGTTAGGCCACAGCCTTGTTATGATCCCTTGCCATGACTCCTTCCTACATTCAGTCTCAATGAAATCTGCAAGTTCAGGGTCAGGACTAAGGATTTTCATCACAGCTTCTCGGACAGATGGATCAGTGATTTGGGCATTAAATGTTCCAGTCCTAATATCATTGCAAAGAAGGGGCCAGTGCTTTTCAAGGAACCTGATTGCACGAATGAAGCCGGAGGCAAAAACAGCACCCACCCTGAGGACTTCTTGGTGTTGACAAAGACCACAGAGCATCTGAGAGTACATACTTTGGTAGGAATCAGGGCAAAGAACGGTTTCATTTGGGCTGGTGTAGTTGGTATAAGGGTCAGAATGCCTGTCTTTGAAATGGGAACTTTTGTAGTAGCTAGTGAGCACAGGACGAGCCAGAAGGCCACTTGGGGTCTTAGCCTCAGATTTAATGAACAAAAAGTACATTCCTTTGCCTTTCTCTAGGCCAGGCACAAATTGGCTCATCACAGGCATCAATAGGCTATAGAGCAGTGACCTCCTCCCCAGCTCATCCTCAATGGTCGGCATCAACTTCCTCTCTCCACCGGATGTCCCAGAGCTGAAAATCAAAAATACCCTGTTAGCCAACAAAGGCTAAACACCCAAAAAACAAACTCAGAAAACAACCCAGAATTTCAAATGGCCATTGCGTGACAAATACAAATGGCCACCTCAAAAATTTCTGCTTTTTGCTAGAAAAGAATGATGAAAACAACCCAAAACAGAAAAGAAGCAAAACTTTCTTCTTCTTTTTTTTGTTTCATATTTTTTTGGCTCACCTTGTCAAGAACTCTGAAATGGGCTTGGAACAGAGAATGGGGGAGGTATCACCATTGGCAATACGGCTGATATCAGGCTGGATATCTTCATAGGTGATGACAGGCGTCAGTTTCTTGAAAGTCTCTCGATCAGTTAGGTCATTAAGGCCATGCCTCTGCAAATACTCAACATGAGCATTGCGTGAGAGGATTTCTTGAAGAACTTTCCTCTGAACCCCATCAGCGTTGGAGGTAACGTCTTCAATAAACTCAAGACTCTTCTTGTTCTCCTCTGCAAGGTTATAATTCTGAGTTTCCTTAGGTGCCTCAGGCATGGTGCTTTTTTGTTTTCTGTTTCTTTTCTTTTGCACCTTGAAAGAAAAGTCTCAAGAAAAAGTGTACCTGTGTGAGAGAGATTGGGAAAGAAAAAGGAGAGATTTGTGTGTTCCACTAGAGAAGATGGGACTTTGTTTTTGGTGTGAGGGAAAAAGAGAAGAGAAATGGGTATATATAGAGGGGAGGGACAATAAAAATAGACAATTTTTATTTTACCAAAGCTTCGGAATTGTAAGTCTCAAGGTGTACTGAAAGGGAATAAAAGAAAGGGAAAAACATTTTTAACGGGCTTTAACAATTCGGAGTAACAAGACTCCACCGGCAGTCTCCCGTCGACACGCAGTAATTTCACCGGTTACATGCGCGCTTGTACTGCGGGTGCCTCACAAAATACCAGCAACCTCTTGCTTGCATTTTCCGGTAGCAGAAACGGCGTTTTAACTTCGAGCAAATAGTTCAATGATTAAGAGTTAAAATTTTAAATTAAAAACGTTAAATTTAAATTTTAAATTGAGTGAAAAAAATTTTTAAAAGAAATTATTTTTTTATATAATTTTTCAGAAGTACTAAACAAAAAAGAAACGGCGTTTACCTTCAAATTATCGCGATATATAAAGTCAATATATCTTGAGATAATTGGAGGGTGGGGCGAAAGAAATTAAAATAGCATGTGTAGTTGTGTACGGTAAATAATTGGACTCTTTTTCTTGTTCAAGTATCCAAGAGGGACCAGCCAGCTGGCAGTCATACTTGAAAGCTTGACACGTGTGCGAATGGGAGTTTAGTGCCTTCACGTTGTTATTTTCCTCGGGACTAAAAATCGGCTCCATTTCCTCGCCGGAAAGAATACTAGTACCATATTTCCCGTACGTATTGATAATTTGCTGTTTTGCGTTTCCATAAAGTTGTGTTATGTTTGCCAAATTGGACTTTTGGACTACTAGAAGATCACTTCTTAGGGCGGTGTTC